ATACATCAAATAGGACGGTAAATTTCGGGGCGGTAATAAAAGAGATTTATACGGACATGTTAAGGTTCTAACACTTTTTCCCAATACATTTTTAAGTCCTACAAAACTATGTTTGGGGGCGTATTATTGTTTTGGGTGTCCAAAGAGTTGGCCCTAGACCCACGTACCGGTCACCAAATTTCGAATAGTTGCATCAATCGATCTCTCCACTTTAATGTTTTGTCAAAGTACAGGCCGCCACGAAGGAAGGTGATTTGGGAAAAAAATAACATTGACATTTTTGATGAGTATCGGTCGAACAGTTTAGGTTATTTTGTGTAAAAAATACGAAAAACTGCAAGTATTGATGTTGATATGGTAGTTATATTGAGATTAGTAAAGAGGTCTGCCTACATATTTTAATATGGTTAATAGCACATGTACCAATCTAGCTGGATTATGGCGGCCAAGTGTCTATATAGTCCTTGGGTTTTTGATCCTTCAATGTCGTGTTTACCTACCATATTTGTAGGGTAACTCCAAAATGATGAACCAAATATTTATAAAATAGACTTTTCAGTGATACTTTATATACTTGAGCTTTATACTTAAAATACGAATATTTACCATCAAAAATGGTTTTATTGTTTTTTTTTTATTCCCCAGCATTATTTATAAACTTTTTTATGCGCTAAAACTGATTGTATATGCACTATTCATTTTCACTTCGAATACGACACGATTCAGGAATAAAAAGAAGTCATTTGGTGCGAACATTTGTTTAAGGTGTAAATGCAATAAGGAATTTCAATATTTTGAGGTACAACCAGATTTTTTGCATGGGGGGACCTCCACCCCATTTTCTCAGTTTGAAAAAATTTGGTTTTTATTGAATTCGAACCTACACTCATTCAAGAATGTCTCTACAAAATTTACAAAGAAAATCTCAACGACTCTTAAAGATATACACTTTATCTCTCTTATAGATATATACTCATCAAAATAAGGACTTTTCTTAATCACAAACAACAACAAAATTATTTGTAGGAGAGAATCTGAAAGAAAAATTATAACAAATACCCAAATTGGGTCGGGATGCTTATATTGGGGATATGCCAAAAAAATGTCTTACACATTTTATCCTTTTAAGAAGTAAAAATGTGGTTAAATTTGAGCGGATCGAGTTTTTTATACCATTCACCTTGAGGCGGACATTCGAACTGGACTTTTATATAAAAATATGATTTGGTACATTTTCAGTAGAAACATTTCAAAACTTAAAATATCAAACAATAGTCAATTCTGTTAAAAAAACATTCCCAAAATTTCGAATAATGGAATCATGATCTCAATGCGAACCCAAAATACAGTCAATTTGTAAAATGCGACCCATAATAAAACCAGTGAGCGGAGCAAATGATACCCTACACAACTTCCACGAAAGTCTAACTTTTTATGTTCTGACGTTGGGTAATATTTCGCGATATTTGCACCCTCTTGACGGACTAGAGGTCAACAATTATTACTCATTTCTGTACAGCCTTTCTAACTACTTATCTAAATTCCCTTCACCCTTTGTGTTGTGAAGTTCGGCTATCAATTGTGGCCTATAGATCGACTCCAAATTACACAAAAAATAAGTTTTCGGTCCAATTTATCCCAAAACTACTAACTACTATCTAGTGCGGTAATGGGTTACTAAATAATATGAATACGTAACCACCTGTAAATATTTATGTGTAACTCCCACATCCGGGTACATACGACAATATATTTGGTATCGATTTAAAGGTCAACCACTCCTCTTTGATATACTATCAATTTATCGGGTCTATGTCCTTCAGGAGTAAATATATGCGCCATACAATATAAATTTTGTAATTTTTCACACAAAAGTCAGGGTCCATTTGACCCGCTAAATATTGACCGGTCTTTATCAAAACAGGCATGCTTATTCTTTGGCCCAATCCCCTTCTCCATGCAAAAATTCGCAGTGGGGCGACCAGAAAAACCGACTAAAATAAAGTTTTTGGTCCATTTCATCCCCTAAATATTAACCGATCTTTTCCAAAAACAATAGGGGTCTTCATTGGCCAGAACCTATCCTACATTTCGTGAAGATTGGTCCATAGCAGTGGCCTGTATCGTGTTTACAAATTATAATGGACAGACGGACGGACACACATGTCTAGATCGATTCAGCTAGTCGAGATATGACGATCGGTATACTTAAAGGTGGGTCTAGGACCAATATTTCGCGACGTTACAAACTTTTGGGGCTGCACAAAGCTATAATTCCCTGACAACATAGTTGTGTATGGTATAAAAAATCGGTTGATAAGCCTTCCCAAAAACTTAAAAATAAGGACTATTTGGGGGTACGCCTAATTTCGGGGCTATGCCAAAACGTTGACCGATCTTTTTCGAAATTTTCAATATCAAACATCCTACGTGTAGTTGCAATGTCTGTGCAAATTGTAAAGCTCTATATTATATATTGCGATGTCTGTAGTGAATTCAACAGACGAACATGACTATTCGAGTGTTGCAAATGTAATATAAAATAAAAATACTCTAGTATACGATTTTTAACTTATATGAGATGTTCTTGTATAATTTACAAATCATTGAATATTACATACATAATTTTAATATGCAATATGCATGTATAAGGTCAAACCTGACTTTCACCCATACGTAAGGTGGTCTATGTTTGTGATAAATTTCTTATATAAATATTTCTGCATATAATAACTTTCTATATGTTTATATATGGGATATATTTACACGAAAATTTATATTGTAAAGTTTATATATAATGATATATTTATATATATATATATATTTTTTTTTAACTATATAAAATATATCTTAAAAACATTTATATAAAAGTCCTTATTTAGAATGGGATTTTCTGTATTAGATTTTTATTAAATATGAAAATGTACTTTTAATATTCAGGGTGTGACAATGTATCATAAAACTAAAAACAAATAAAACATAAGTGTTTGCATTAAAACTAATGGTAATATATCGCAAAAATAAAATCACAATTTTTCTATTTTTGGGGAAATGTTATCAAATACAATACATACATATACCTACAATTACAAAGTAAATGTAGGTACACACACAAATCAAAAGAATACAATGTAGGTAGATATACTACCCCCACTATGATATTGTCGATATGTGTAAACGTTGATATAATCACATATCGCTAGCCAGCCAACCATCCAAACAACCAACCAACCACCACCCTCTAACAAAAATGACAGCTGAGCTGAGTGGCGAAAAATGCACCACCGGCTAACGAACGACAACATTTATCATCACCACCACCCCCTTTTGGTGAATATGATATGAAATAAAGCTACAGACAAAATCTAAATCTGCTAGAAAATTGGGAAACGGCAAATACACAAAAAGTTGTTTTTTGGGGGAAACGCTATTAACCCTCTGTGTGATAAAGCACAGGAATAAAATTATTGGTGTAGGTGAATATTTGAAATGAAACTAATTCGAAATTATAACAAAAAAACACATGACCAAGAGAATGAAAGTGGCCGCAATCAATTGTGAAAATGTTGAGAGAACAAAAATAAATACGATACAAAGTGGATGAAAACAAGTAGCTGTTTTAGGGGTACAGGGTAAAATCAGCCCTTAAGACCTCAGGCAAAAATGCACAGTGGTTATTGGAGTAAACTTAAATCGAAATTTATATTTTTAAAAAATTTCACAATACCCTTTGCAAAGTTATTTCTAGGGCAATAAGTCAATTTTTATATAAACAACGATAAGCAGATCTATCTCTGTCAAATTTTTGACCATATAGATGGACTATACTAAATCCATAAAAATAATATTGATTGATTATAAAGTTCAAGCGACATCGTCACGGTCACTGGTCGGTTAATTTTCACAGCGATTATGTGTGATGTTTGGCGAAAACATAGGACTTCAATTGGCAGGACTAGGATTGATCTTCGTGTCATATATTGTGTATGATTCCTTCTCAATTCCAAAGGAAATCGATCGCTTGACCGTTTTCTATATCAGACGGTCATGTTTTCTTTGGCAAAAGAAGTTAACACAATGCTATAAAATAATCACCAATGGTAACATACAACCTGCTTTGGCTTTATAGGTTGAATAAAAAGACGCTTATTGGACATTACATCCTTCTTTAGCTCCTACATCAATCTGCTGAATATATTTCCCCTTGTGTTGAAGATGTCTGTTGTTCAACATCTAAAGCAGGTGTGACTTCAAAACTGTTTTCTTCTAATTTTGGTGGACTGTCTACAACGTTATATTTCGCAACAAACATCTCCATCATTGTGGCATGAAAATAAATCACCAAATATTGATTGGAAGAAGTTAGTTTAATTTTAACTCCATCAACTTATCCATTAAATTTAATGAACATATCTTCGGAAAACTCAACATCTATATTTTCTGAGTTTCATACATATGTATCGCTTTCAATGTTTCTATAATTAGTTCCGCAATATTTCTAACTACGAAGCACTTCAATATGAGTCACATATATTCCAATATAAGTAAGACCATATAGCAAGGATTAACGAATTGATCACGAGCTACTAAACGATGAATCCTACATGTCCAAAACTTTCGAAAAGATGTGTGATACTTCAACCCCTTCATAATAAATAAATTAAAAAAAAAAAAAAAAACATTAACATATGGCAGGCACCATCAACACATCATTCTAACCACGGTTCCCAAGCGTTATTGTGTATACATGGCATCAAGTTGGCTATCCCATAAAATATTATCATTGTATGTGCAAAAGAGAGTTGATTTGTAGGACGAAAAGACTGTATTACCATAAACACAACCACCATCGACAGCAGGAACAAAAGCCGCCCCGAATAGGGGTTGTTTTTTGCACTCTCTGTGTTCCAATTCGCATGACCGGTCTGCTGGTTGTTCGTTTGGTGGTCGATATGGCTATGACTACGACGACGACAACAGCCAATGCTTGAGCCAACAGCCGGTTACAGAGCACAGTTGAACAGCGGCATTCGGAGCGTACGGATCATAAAAAATCTAGTTTGGCGGAAGCGGCAATTCTTCTTTAAATAATTTCAATTCAATTCTCCCTCACTTCTCATTTCTTATAACACCCCAAAAATTTAGACATTTTGAATATAATACCAACAACAAAAAACTAAAAAAAAAACAGCAGAAACCAAAGAACTTCTCATCCATACATTGTGTATGTATCCAGTGGAGGTAACGCGGCGACGAGACACACAAACGTTGTTACATCCATAGAACAAAAGAAAACCAACAACAAAAAGCAAAAACAAATTTCGTATTTGTGCAATTTTACGACGACGACAACAACAAAGTACTCACCAACCCACCAACCAACCAGGAGGTAGGTGTGTGTTCTTTCTTTGAGATTTGTGGCAGAAATAGTCCAGGCGGTGGCAAAATTATCCAATCCGGTTCTGTTTCCTGTCCAGCGACTTCTCTGCGTGAAATATCAGCTCAGAAGTGAAGCAAAACATTTTGGGTGTTAAGTTGTAACCGATTTTTGGAAATTTTCTTGAGGCCAAATTTTGACTCCTTTGTGAGTTAGTTAAATCATTAAAAGTGGAATCCCCAAAGGCAGAAAACTCTTCGGACGCTCAAACAGCAGCCAACAACTCAGGGTCGGCTGAATCTCCCGTCCAGGCGACAACACCGAAAACGGCGAATAAGACTACAGCTGCTGCCGGCGGCAACAACCGAAGACCAAAAATGGCTGACAACTGCGTCAAGTGCAAAAAGGTCATCAACGCCAAGGAGGGCATTACCTGTGCCTGTCAAAAGAAGTTTCATCGCAGCTGTGTGAACATCGATGAAGCCCTGTATGAGGCCATACAAAAGAACCCCATGATCGTGTTCAGCTGCGATGATTGTCGCCAGCAATCACCAAAAGCCATGGCCACCAAATTGCAGGCCATGGAGGATAAGCTGAACAAGCTGGTGAATGGGGTCAACCAGATACAGGGTCGCATGTATCAGCAATACTTTCAAATGGGACCGAACACCAACAATGCCAACGATGTAAAGAAACAGACCAACAGTCTGATTGTGGTGGGCAACAACTGCAATTCGGATCGTTTGCAGGTGGTCTGTGACTATGGCCGTTGGGTGCAGGTGGGTAAATTTGCCACCTCCACCACTGAGGACGACATCATTGAGCACTTGGCCGAGGAGCTGAAAATGAACAAGAATTTGGTGAAATGTACCAAATTGGTGAAAAACGATGCCAATTTAGCTGCCTTGTCCTATTGTAAGTTCAAAATTTCCATACCCGATTATCGCTTCAATGAACTGTTCAACGAGGCAATTTGGCCGAGTGGTGTGATGGTTTCACCATTTACACCACGTTCCCAATTAAATCAAAATCGCATTTAAGGGAAATCAAAGAAAATTTGTGAAAATTTCTCAGAAACAAAAGAAGACGAAAAGAAATTTGAAGATGAACCAGTCTAGCTGAGAAGATGGAGGGAGGTATAAAAGTAATGATGTGCAATGGAAAGCAGTAGCAGTGGGGAATAGAAGAGGACGGTGGTAACTGTGGTAGGTGGAGCAGAATAAATACAGATGATGAAGATGGGACACCTGGAAGGGGAGCTGTTGAAAGCAGAGTTGCTTGTTTTGCTGTTTAGGGGTGCTTTTATCTACTCAATGGGGGTGGTTATCAAGAGAACGAGAGAAAATAGAGAATGAGTGCAAACGAATACATACAATATTAAATAAATAAAACATAACAAATAGAATGTGTATCTCGTAATGCTGAAAAACAGAGAGGAACGTTTATGGAGAGTGAAAAATTAAAAATTGAGAACAAATTTTGCAAAAAGTGGATACCGACAAATTGTTATTCAAAACCCCCCTAAAGTATGCATCTCCAAAAGAACAAAGAAAACTAGCAGCAATGTTTTAACAATTTTTTCGAGAACTTTTTACATTGTTCACCCTATTGAAAAGTTGCTACTTGCTCTCCTGTATTTTCCCCTAATTTTTGCTGGCTTTATATTGCATATACATATACTTTTATATATACATTACATACATATATATATCTATATATTTCAAAAATTTTTAAATTTTTGCAATTGAAAAACAAATGTAATTGAGAATTTGCTTAAAATGAAATCTAACAACTTATAAAATTTCCAACACAATTCAGAAATAAAAGCTTAACTAAAAAAATAATGAAGAAATAAACAAAGAAAAATATATTGTATTTCATAAAGAAAATATATTACAGAAGAAGAAGAAAATAAAAACACAACAGATTAATAACAATATACTTTAAAATATTTTAGAAATTTATAAACAACAGAAAACTCACAATTACTACTACTACAACTAATATTTGAGAAATCAATGAAGGCAAAGGCAAACAAAAATAATGAAATTACAATTCCCAAAAGTATAAAATATATTAGAAATTTGAATTACACACATACATATATTTGTCGTAAAATTACAAACAGTAAAAGTAACATTTTTTAAAAAACCAAAGTAACGAAAAAAATCTCCCCCATTATAAAATAATATAAAAATTTTACTGTAGTTGAAGCCGGGACACACACACCCATCCACCAATCTTAATGGGTTACTTTCAAATTTACCCAAAGAAAATTTCGAATATAACCCGGATGGAAGGGTGCAATGGTGGACCGGCACATAACATTATTACAATGATGATGATGAAGAATAATATGACTTTAAAGACATACATACATATTTAATCGTATATATTATACTACTTCTATTTCAAATATTTCCAAAGATTAACTTTAAGTGTATTTCCCAAAAATAACGGTGAAAGTATATTTTAAAATTGAATACTGAAAAAAAAATAAAATAATTTAAATACATAACAAAATATATAAATGTATGGATAACTTGAATGTATGTATTTTGAAAATGTTTTTAATATTACTTACACCCACATACTTATTTGTATTCTCAATTATATTTATATGTATATGTATTTCTTCTATATAAAATCAATTCTTAATTAAAAAGAAAATTATTAATTCCTTCTTAAATTACAAATTGGACATATTTCTATTTATTTTTTAAAAAAAAATAAAAAATTATATTTATTTCCAAATACAAAAAAGTATTTTTTATTTATTTCAATTATTTATTTATTCAAGAAAACTACAGAAATTCTATTTTACATTTTCAAATTATCACCAGAAAAAAAATACAAAAACAAATAAAAAAATATTCACAATTGTCGTATTAGAAATGCTCCTTAAAAAACTATTAACAATTTATTGTACTTTTAAAATATTAAACAAAAAAATATAAAACAATGTAGTTTGAAGCAAATTTTTTCCAAATGCTTGTCGTCGTAAACGATTTTAGAGATTTTCAAAAATATTACAAAAACAAAACGTAAATAAAATAACAAAATGAATGGCAAACAGCAAAACAGTAGTGAACAAAAATTCAAGAACATGAAGAATTTAAATATACAAAGAAGATATGGTTCGTATAAAGAGATGTTTATTTTCAACCACAAAATAGGGGAATCCCCCAAACATTTATTATTCAATTTCCATAATTTCGAAAACTATACACATCTTTATGCGAAAATCAACATTTGTTTTTTGCGTCTTATCTTCTCCATTCATTCGTATGAAATTTACAACACACAATAATATTCACAAATAAACCGACAAGAACAACAACAATTTAAGTCTTTAGTATACAAAACAAACGGGAATGATGATAAACAAACAGAGCAAAACAGAAAAAAAAAATAATGCATGCATGTATTTATATCAAATTTTTAAAAAGAAAACCAAACAAAATAAAATTTCTTGAAATAAAATAAAAAATGTGTATGCGGATTATTGTATTCTCATCAAATTGGCAGGGGTGGGAAATTCTTAATTCATGTGAATTGTAGATGGAAATTTAATGAATTGGTAAATGAAGATGTTATTATCTACTATATTGCATATAAATATAATGTGTATTGTATTTTTTATAGAAAACGTTTCTTTTAAAATATCCAATCAGGTCCTTACAATCTGTAGAAAATCGATGACTTAAGAATGGCAAAAGCATTTTCTATAGAAAATCAATGACCCTTAGAAGGTTCGAAAAAGCTTCTATGGAAAGTACATGACTTAGAAGAATCAACTCATTTTCTATTGAAAATAATGAACACACATTTTCTATAGAATATTAATGACCCTTAGCAATCTCGTTCGAATGTTGGTTTAGACTCTAATTTCAAAATATTGGCGGTATTGATAAATCCATTTTTGGTGTATCCCCAATAAAGATTGGGTAGGAAATCTCCCTCCCAAATAATATTGGCATATCTTCATATTGGCATATCTACAGATACAGTATAACCTCTCATACAGCATTTATTTTTTGTTTGTTTCTTACAAAATTGGGTGCAATTTCACATTCACAATTCTTCGTACCGAAAAGTATCAGTATTGGTTCCATTTTATCAAGAGCTCCTATATAACCTATTATTCCAATAGGATACATTTCGTTTGAGTAGAAAATCGCCTTACATTAATTTTTTAAATAATGGTCGACATTTAGGTATTGAGTCCCCAAAACTCCTTAAAAATATAATGATTTCATCTGTTCTCATTACATCATACATTTAAACCACAATTTTCATCATTAATTTCCAACCTGGCTAAAAAGGTCGAAATTATTTATATACTTCTTTTAATATTTTTATTGGATTTCTAAATTTTCAGAATACGGACAATATGGATGTTGAAACAAAACTTATTTCTGAATACCAAAAAACTATAAATGTGTCCGCAAACAGCTCAGAAGAAGATGAAACCAGCAACAATGTAAAAGAATCTGAAGAGACTACAGAGAATAACTCCACAATTACAACAAAACCGACTAAAGAACCCAACGAGACTTTCATTGAACATAAAACCACAACGACCTTAGTAAACAACACCAACAACGACAACACAATGGAAAGGCTTTTTAAATATTTGACTGATTATGACCTGGAGACTTTTAGCACATATGACAATTTTACAAAATGGCTACAACGTCCTGTAGATGCAGCAACGCTTGGTGTATTTCGTATTTTTTATGGTAGGTGTTCGATTGAAATATACAAAATGATCTCCCATATGAATATTTTATTGTTTTTTAATTAGGTGCTGCAATGTTAATCGATATGGCTGAGGAGCGTGGTGGCGGAAATTTAGACATTCGATTTGGTGAACCATTGCATTGTCATTTTCCACTATTCGATGGCATACAGGTGTTCAGTTTTCCCATTATGGGTTGCATTTACCTGTGTATGTGGTTGGGTGCCATTGGCATAATATTGGGTTATCGTTTCCGTCTTAGCTGCTTGGCCTTTATTCTACCCTATTGGTATATTTTCCTTTTGGATAAGCCGGCATGGAATAATCATAGTTATCTATTTGGTTTGGTGGGTGTAATGCTACTCTTTAGCCAAGCAAATCGTTATTGGTAAGTGCGATTGTGTTTTCTTTAATTTTTTTCTTTATAAAGATAAATTATCTTTTTTTACAGCTCATTAGATAAATATTTCAATCCAGAAATGCCGACCACTGTGCCATATTGGAATTATTTTCTGATTAAATTTCAATTTTTCATACTCTATATGTATGCCGGACTTAAAAAACTTACCGCTGAATGGTTATCGGGTTACGCTATGTCTTCACTAAGTCGCCACTGGGTCTTGAGTCCATTTCGTTGGGTGTTATCTGAAGAATTGGCTGATTTATTAATTGTTCATTGGTTTACGGCAATATTTGATTTTAGTATAGCATTTTTCATGACATGCAGCAAGACACGATTATTGGCCACACCATTTATGGTTAGTTTTCATTTGATGAACTCACGTCTGTTTGTAATTGGTAAGTTGATTGTTGATGTTTTAAATGTAAATACAAATGTTTTGACAATTTCTAGAATCTGAAGAAAAAAGAAAAGGGTTTATGTGAATAAAATTTGTGTTCTTTTGTACAGTGATTCAATATCATCACGAGGAAGTCTATAATAAGGAAATATAATAACAATTATAATATTAACTTCTATATAGACTCTATCCATAAGGACCTCCTTCCTTCAAATCCTCTATTAAGACTCCCTGTCCATATCTTGTCCGTTGAATTGTACCATCAATATTGCTTTTACACAACGGGCTGAGGTGACAGACGTCTACGGTGGGTCTATTGTTTCCGCTTGTCTATGTGTTCTCCACGTATCAGTTCATCTTAAAGAGACCTTGTATATTAGATCAGCACTTATATAAATACTACATATTTCCATTCTTTTATTAAGACTTCAACTCGTCTGTTAGGACTTCATTTTTTATATGAAGAGTCTCTGCCTTCGCTTTGTATGTTAGAACTTCCTATCTTTATCTCGTATATATCTTTAAGTCTGAAAAGTGAGTTTTTCTAGAAGCTTTCAAAGTATATATGCCATGCACATTTTTGCTTATAACTTTGGTTTGGATTGGCTGCAAAATTCAGTGAATTTAAATTAAGGACCGTATATGTATTTAAAACATGCTAAGTCGAAGCATACTAAGGGGTCGTATAAACTACTGCATGCAAAGCGTATATGTATTTAAACAGCGTATATATATTCAGACTCCCTAGACTCAATTTATCAGCTAATTTATAAAGATTTTATAGTATAAAAAGTCCATTCACCTCGTCTAAACTTTATTCACTGATCTATAAAAAATCCTTTCTGCACCTTTATAAAAAAAATTCTTCATCTCGTCTATAAATAAACACTTGAGCTGGTCTAAACAAGCTTTGTACAGCTGGCCTGTAAACATTTGTCAGTTCTTCTATAGGCTGCCTCCAGCTTGTCTATAAATTCATCCTTCTTTTATAAACAACAAAAAAACTACACTTAAAACTATACAGAAAACTTATTATTTTTTATTTTTCCAACAGGTATGTTTCCATGGGTGTGTTTGGCCCAAGTGCCAATGTTTTATGGCTTTGATTGGCCGCGAAAACTTAATAAAGAAAATTTCAAAAAATTGTATAACAAATTAATGAAAAAAGATCCCAATGAAAAGGAAGTACAAAAAGTAAATGCAATTAAAGACAGCAGCAAAGAAGAGACTAACAATGAACTCCAAGAACCAGAAAAAATAAACGACAATCCAATATATTATTGTAAAGGGTGTCAGAAACAATTAAAAATAACCAACAAATGCAACAAGAAAGAATATTTGCAAACATTTGTTGTTCTGCTTTACTGTGCATTGCAACTATTTTTGCCATATTCACATTTCATTACCAAAGGATATAATAATTGGACAAATGGCTTATATGGTTACTCATGGGATATGATGGTGCATTCGTACAACACCATTATGACAACTATTAAAGTTGTAGATAATTCCAATAATAAAACACACTATTTAAATCCTTATGCATTTACGGAATACGATCGTTGGATGAAATACGCCGATATGGCACAACAGTATGCCCAGTGTATAAAACGTAATATTGATTTTGAACACAAACGGAATCCTCGTGGCAGTCCATTAAGTTCAACAAATATTTCCATTTACATTGATGTTTGGTGTTCTATGAATGGCCGCTTTCAGCAACGCGTATTTGATCCAAGGGTAGATTTACTAACAGCTGAATGGTCACCTTTTAAGAGAACATCATGGTCCTTGCCATTGCTCACAGAACTGAATCATATGCGACCCCGGTTGCGTAACATAGCCGATGATGTGTTATCGTGGAATAATTATTCGGATGTGATGTTTGTTGCCGATTTTCCAGGTCTAACATTGGATCATTTTATATCACCGGATTTGACAAATGTTTCGCTTACCATACTGGAGGGTCATGTCCGTTATAAAAGTGATGATGAAAATGAATCATATTTTTTAACAGCTGGTAAAAGTATTGGTCTTCCCGCTGGTGTTATGCATCACATAACCACATTAGGTATGAAGCCATCATGCTATCTTTATACATATGTTAATAAGACCATGCAACAAGAGAATATCATACTTGATAACACAACAATAAAGGAGAAACCCTTACTGCCGTTGTGGCAAGAATTTAGACAGCGCGTAGATAATTATATACGTTTCCTACAACATATGGGTAATTGTATTTTACATTTGCTATATGGTGTACCGATACCAATGAAAATACGAGATAAAGATTAATAAGATGTTACTGCACGATTATGAATTGAAACAAAAAAAAAAACAAAGACAATTTATAAAAAAACTATATATGATTAATAATTTAATTTATTTAAATGGCATTATACAAAATAACAAATTATGTACTTCTCATAGATCTAAGACAAAAAGGACGGGACGAATGATAATATATGAGGTGTACAAAATTGTACATTGTTACTATTCTTTAGCCGATCGTTCCTTCACCTGCTATATGAACACTTCCTCCTTCAGCTTGTCTGAAATTTTTAGTTCTGTCAGCTGGTCTATAAAATTCCCTTCACCAGTCTGTCTTCAGCTCGTTAATAGCTCACAGTACCTTCATCAGACCGTATATAGAAATATCCCTTCATCAGTTATATGCTAGTCATATTGTTAACATAAATAATAAATCTATGTAAACGTAAAAGTTAAATAGAAAGTTGTTTTTGTAAATAATTGAAACCTATGACAGGTACAGGTTTTAATTATTAGGTTGATCTAACAATGTAGTATATAGTTTGTTAATATGTATTCTAATACCATTTTATTTTAATGTGCCAAGTATATGCCAAATATAAACTTTTAAAGATTAGTTACTTACTTTTGTGAAAAAATATATATTTACATATTTTTGTTATTATTAACATTTGTATACAAATACCCGTTTGTTTTATGTTCAGAAAAAAATGTGAGTGATATATGGACAATTTATGTATGCATTTAACAAATATACAATAAATTAAAAAAGACATATTTATAATTTCTTTTATTTATCGGGGGGATGAGGTTTTCTTTTCAATTTCCACAATTGTTTGTATATACACACATGTAAATGTACTTAAACAGGTAAATTAAATTTCACTTTTATTAACTAGGAATTCAACCGTTTCTATAGTCTTAAATTAAAAAAAATTGTATCATCTCAATGGTCGTTTGGTATAATTATTACTAATTTACAAAAGAGAAACAAAAACACTTAATACTAATCAAAAAACACACATATTCTGCATAACAATTACAATCAAAATCAAAAAGAAATAGACAATTAACATCTATATACATTTTGATATCAATTAGTTGCATTCGTTTCCTTTTGGCTTAAAATCAAAATTGTTGTGTTTGTGTTTCCCAGAGTCGAGCATAGAGACCATTTTTCTTAAGCAACTCTGCATGAGTGCCACGTTCACCAACTCGGCCATTTTCCAAAACTAAAATCTCATCAGCATCCATGACAGTGGATAAACGATGAGCTATACATATACTGGTGCGACCTTTTGTAGCTCTCGCCAAGGCTTGTAAAATGTTCTACATATCGATATGTTAGTATGAATTTTATTAAGAGTGGATATTTTTCAATCTACTTACATGTTCTGTAATTGAATCTAAACTACTGGTAGCCTCATCAAATATAAGAATGGGGGAATTTTTCAATATGGCTCTGGCAATGGCCACACGCTGTTTTTCACCACCGGAAAGTTTCAAACCACGTTCGCCTACTTGCGTCTGATATTGCTTGGGCCAACGCATTATATTATCGTGTAGATCGGCCATACGTGCGGCATTTTCAACATCTTCTTGACTTTTACTCAAGTTACCATAATGAATATTGTGTTTAATTGTATCATGGAATAATACAGAATCCTAAAAACATGAAACAACATTTTTTAATATTTAAACAATTAAATTATTTTAAAATTAAAATTAAATTTTTTTATTATTCAGTACTACTTGTGTATTCCTACTAATCAGATAATAATTGAATTAAGAAAATAATGAAGCTTCACAAAATAAAGATTTCCTCTATAAAGACCTTATAAAAATAAATTCTACATGATACTTATTTAAAAAGGCTTCCTTCAGCTCATCTACAGTTTTTTTTTTCAATTTTTCTAATATGTTACATTTTCCTGCGTATGTTAAAACTAGATTTAGTTTTCTATTAAAACTATCATCTTCAACTGAAAGGAATTTCTTTTAACTTGTCTATTAAAACATCGTTCAGTTTTTCTATAAAATCTAGCTTCACTTAGTCTACAAAGACCCCTTTTTCAGCTTACTTTAAAAGATTGTCTTCTTCGTATATTCTTCGACATATTTATAGGTACATTCTCGTAACATAGTGTTTACTTTTATACTCATTTCTTTTCTAGTCAATATATTCGTACCCATGCATCTGCAGAACTACTCATAACAGTTCAGTTTTATAAAGAGCTGTAGAAAACTCATTTAAGCCATTAGTTTTCTCAATGCTTTAAGACCCCTATATTGCATACTCGCTTCATTTTGTCTAATTACAAGATATAACATAGTCCGAATTCTTATTCTCATACACGTACAGAGCTTGCCTTTATAATTGGCTATAATTTGTTGCTATTTATACAGGATGTTTATCAAAAATATGTAAAAAAATTACACAACTTACCTGAGGTACTACAGCTATTGCTTTTCTCAAACTTTCAATATCCACTTGACTTATATCCTGGCCACCAATTAAGATTTTACCCGCATTCGGTTCGAAAAATCGGAATAACAATCGAACCATTGATGATTTACCCGAACCGGATCCACCAACAAATGCGATATTCTTTCCAGCCGGTATTTCAAAAGATAAATCTTTAAAAATTGGTTTACCCGGTTCATATTCAAAGCTAACATTTTTAAATTCAATTGAGGCATTATCTGGACCCAACAGCAAAGGTGGGGCATTAACGGGTGCGTGGACACGACTATCGACATTCATCAAGGTAAACATAGCTTGCATATCCAACAAAGCTTGACGCACCTCACGATAAACACTGCCCAGAAAACCCAATGGTATACTCAATTGAAAGAGTAAACCATTGACCATCACCAAATCACCGACAGTCATATTGCCCTTGGCAATTTCATTGGCAGCCAAAACCATTATAACGCTTAGGGCAGTACTGAAAATTGCATTCTGGCCAAAATTTAAAACCGCCAAGCTAGAACTAGTTTTCAAACTGGCCGATTCGTATTTTTTCAAGACTTGATCGTAACGTGCTGCTTCGAATTTTTCATTATTAAAATATTTAACTGTCTCATAATTAATTAGGGAATCTACAGCCTTATTGCCAGCCTCATTTTCGGCTTGATTCATGTAAACACGGAACTTTGTACGCCATTGTGTTACCGATAAGGTGTATGCAGCATAGACACCAACACAACCCATTGATACACCGGCAAATGCTAAACCACACTGGAAAAATAGAAACAATTAAATAATTACAATGATTTTTAGGAAACGAATTAATGAACATACCTTTAAACCCAATATACTGGATACTAAAGCCAATTCAAAAATGGTGGGGACAATATTAAATACCATGGCAGTTAAAACAAAATTAATGCCTCTGGAGCCACGATCAATCGTCTGTAAAGAAAAAAGATAAAGAATAATCATAAATTGTATAGAAAAAATCTATGTAGCAGATAGAAGAAGAATGCCAATGACAGAAAGCTAAACTGTCCGTAACGATATGGATAAATGCATTTTTCAATCCATGTTGAGATGAAACATACGACTTCCAAATTATCACTACACGCACAAAGGATACTCATGTCAAGGCATCCGCATACATAGATTACTCCTCTCAATACCTCGATAGGGAAACGGTTGGCTCACTTGAATCTTTAATATCTGAAATTGTCAAAATGTTTCAAGCAAAGCTGTCTTGTACAGTCTGCGAGAATATAGCGGATTTTTGCGAATATGCTCTGTATATTTTATAACTTAAGCGTGAATAATATTCACATTTTTCAAAGTCAGGATAACCAGTCTGTGTTTGAAGAATCGCTGAGATCACTAACTTTCATGTCCTCTCGGGAAAAACTTGGTTTATAGTATTTATTCTTACCTTTGATAATGCACCAGTCTGCTTATTTAGATGGAATGCCAAATCTAAGTTGTGTAAATGTAAAAATACATTCGTTGCAATTTTACGAATGGAGTGATGCGCCACTTTGGCAAATACAGCATTACGCAGTTCATTAAAACCGGCTGCACTGGCGCGGGCAATACCATCTAGAAAAATTAGTAAAAACGATAATAATAAAATAACAATCCATCTCAAAATATTAGTAAATTCTACTTACATCCAATTAACATGGCTGTGGCAGTGGTTAAAATTGTATCGGCAGGTGTATCCATTGTTAGGCTACCCATTGTGTCAACGGCTCCCTTAAACAAAAATGGCACACATACAGTTAAGACTTTGGAACCAGCTAACAAACCCAATGATATGGCAACTCTGTAAAAAAACACTTATATGAATTTTATAATAAATAATTTAATACTTGTGTCCGTTCTTACCTTTTCCTTACTAAGGCATCATCTTTGGGCCATATATAGGCCATCATTGCCCTTATCATATCTTTGGATGTTACTTCCGGTGCATCTAATTTTCCTAGATTACTACCCCCATCACCACCACCTCCTAGATGAACGTGACATTGTCGTAACGGTTGTAGTTGGAGTTGTTGTTGCAATGTTTGTACATGTTGGGCTGGACCTGCAGGGATTTACTAAATTGAACAAAGTAGGATCCCCACAGGGCAAACACAACATACAAGCATATATATTTTTTATAATATATACATACGTACAAAATGAAAAATTCAATTTTCTGGTTTTCCAATTGTTGTTAATTCAAGTAAAACAATTAGCCTTTTTTGTTAGGTTTACAAACAAAGCAATAACAGAAAGGTTAAAAAATGTTATTACAAAAATAAAAGTGTAACCTCCCGGCGCCCACCATTTGAATTTATTTTCTTAGGAAAGCTTTTATTTGAGTATGATAAGCAAATATTGGTCACAGAAATGGTTTTAATCCGGTTGGTGCAGACATACCCATGTTTACTAAATTCGTATTAATAGAAATTAAAAAAAGAAAACGTCGCAATTTGGACTGCAAATTTTCATAAAACAAGGGTCTAAGGCTTTTAAAGAAGATAAATGTTTTAATAGTCGTCCCTTCAATGAAATACCACACATTAAGAAAAAAATTGTATTTATTTCATTTCTGTGCATTACGAGAGCAGTTCGAAAAGTTCTTAGCCTAGCACAGAACTCCTTCATATAGAAACAGGTGTTCAAAATTGTTTAATATGAAAGCACGCATTTCTAATTTTTCCACTGTAAAAAATTGTGGATGCGTCTTTTTTAAATACCTATTTCTATATGAAGGAGTTGCCAGATCGAAACTAAATTTTACATGTGTTCATAACATAGATGTTTCCAAAATACTAAATTTTTTGTTTACATGGCGCTTTCTGTGCTAGGCTAAGAACTTTCCGAACTTTTTTATTCCGAACTACTTTTATTGATCTACCTATTGCTATACTCCTTTTTTTCATGATAAAAACAAATATTATTTAAAAAAAAATTAAATTCTTCTGATTTCTGGTTAGTTACTGATGTAAAACAAATCTGACGATTGGCGAAGCTGAAACAATTGCTCGAATATTGTATTCAAATGGCGGAGGAACGTACACAAATAAAATTTGTTAGTTTTATTATAAAAAATCATACAAATAAATTGAAAAACAAGAAATATGTAATTACTGCAACAAAAACACATTTTGTGGTCTTTTTTACAGGAGATGAAGATCTTTAAGACAATTTGAAAGTAGAAAACAGTGTCTCAAAACAAATTCATCTCCTGAAAAAAGGATTGGAGAAATAAATAAATGAAGAGCACAAACTTTAGTGGGGAAAATACAGATGAAATTACCAAAAGAAAAGAAGGATGCAAGTTCTGAAATATATTTATATAGATAAGCGAACATTGGTATAGAAAATTCTAGCACAAAAGGACATAGGTGAAATTGGAGATCTAATTCATTTTATAATGGAAAATTAAAATTATATTTTTACACATTCACAATGACGACGAGATACAACATGAAAATTTTTCGCAATTGCGTACAATTTTGAGAACAATTTTGATATAGGGAGGAGAACGATCTGCTGTTGAATTATCCATTATTTTCTGGATTTTGTGGAATTGATTAATACTTTTTGGATAATGAATTACAAATAGAATATAAATTATGATAACTAAAATGATTGAAAATATTTTGTAAACATACAATGTGCTAATAGAACAATCCAAAAAAAACTATAGACAAGAAATTTAAATTTTAAAGACAGACATTTTAGCTTACGCTTTCTACAAACCCATTGCAATTACTAGTATACTTATAAAGGTTTGAAAAGGGGGATCAGTAAACCAAATGTTTCATTACTTGTTGTTATCAATACAACATGTAATATTGTAGAGAGAATAAAAAAGTAAGAAAGGTAGACACAGGATACTTTTGCTATATCGCTTCCACACTTGGTTAACATGCCATACAATTACCTTTAGGCGTCTTCTTAACAAAAACACCACCAAGCAATTTACTACCAGGTGTGGGAGTAAATGGTGTTATCTTCTTTTTGTGTGGGTCATTTGTTGAAGTGCCATCGTCCACCTTGGTGACAGTCGTGCGGGAGCTAAGCAGCTATAAAGAAACAAAGAAAAGAAAACAATTCCCAATAATGTAAATAAAACACAATTCATTTTTCTACAAAAGCATTTTAAAATTATATTTTATTTTGTGTAAACACAAATCTTAAATTCTAATATTCTATTGTATTTATACAATTTTGTAAATATTTATGACATTCTTGTAAATACGACTTAACAACTATTCCTGATTTTGATAGGGCTTTCATTGATTCCAACGAATTAATGAATATTTCATATTCGTTAATTTTAAATTCCAATAAAAGTTTCATTTCATCATTAACATTTTCTAAGTTGGCCACAGATCCGAATGCCACTTGATTCAATATATTGGGAAAATGACTCTCTTCTTTGAAAAGTAAATGTAAGACTACATGTAAATTATGTGATATTCCGTCTAAACGGTGTACAAACATCTGGTCGCATAGATTATGTTCTCTAATAAATTTAAATTTGTTTTTGTGGAATAGTCGCCCCTTAAGCGTTTTCTCCATGTGTAAAAAATTCTCTATATCATTAAGCGAAAACTCAAAATAATCATGGCAATTTAATGATAAAAAGAAACCATATTCTAATAATAATTTTAAATTTGTCAACGCACCATAGCTTATGAAAATCTGTTGTAATGGTAGGATTTTCGAATTTTCACAATTCTCCAATGTCAATATAAATTCCAATTCTTTGGTTTCTTTATTACGTATTAAATCCGCCTGGGTTTGAACTTGATCTGAATGATTGAAAAGATCTAAAAATGGAGCCAACGCTAAGTTGCAGTCTTCTGTTATGAAAGATTGGAAGAAGGATTTTTCAGGTTTTAGTTGTTTACCAAAGACATAAACACTTCGTGTATTCACAACAAAATATGACCAGCGAAATTGTTGTAGCGGATATTGCTCTTCAAAATTTTCGATTTTTAAAACCAATTTCAAGTTGCTATAGGCCAATTTAATTAGACGATTTTGTTCAACAGTTCTCTCCAATATATTTTCCGGTAAACATTGTAATTCCGAAATTGGACAGAAGTAGGGAGTTGTAAAATAACTAGGCAATGATTTTAAATATGGTAAATATTTTGTATTATCTCCTAGATTTTTTTGATATAAAATATAAAATGCCATTAATGCTTGAAATGATATTTTGTGATCTTTATCAAATTTTGTTTCATCAAATATGTCTTTGAATTCATCATCAGTTTCTATAGTTTTTATACTTAAAAGTGCATTACTTGGTAAGCGTATTAGTTCTGAGCCAGTTTCTAATGTTAGAGATTTTGAACATAAACCTCGACCGGTAAGAGGAAAGTTTCTAGCTGTCAATTGACTTTCATTTCTCCAGCCCAATGAACTTAAATATTTATACAAATCAGGTAAGAATCTGTCATCTTTATTTTGTTCATGTTCCTTTGCTAATTTTTGCCGTTGTTTACGATAACGATAGGTACGTCCCATTTTGTTGAGTTAAAAAAAAAAATATATAAGAAAATGTACACCACTGTTGAAATTCGAACAGCTTTTCACTTGTTTTAGCAACAATTGTTTAATCTGTCTTTTTCTAGTTGAAATTTAAAATGTCTGCAAAGATAACAAAATGAAGTGAATTGTAAGTCAGTTTTATTTGAAATAAATAAAAAAGCAGGAAATTTACTAGTAGCAGCATTTTGTTGCAAACTTCTTGAACAGTTACCATGAATAATTTTAATCGTATAGAAACTGTGGAAATGCTTGCTGGTTATTGTTTTTTATAGTTTAATTTTTAATATTCGAAAATCAAATGACAAACACAATAAGCATTTATGGCTTAGTGTGAAAAGTTTATTTTCGGTTTTGAATAATTTAGTTTATAGGTCCTATATCTATTGTATTCCCTTTTCCGAATTGTATATAATAATATAATACAAATATTTGACAATTTCGTCGATAGATTAGACCAATTGTTTATTCTCTACACAACTAATTTTATTTCAACCAGAAACTTCATCCTATCTATACAAGTCGACGCTGTGGGTCGGTTGTCAGAAAATGATATAATGGGATGACAGGACAAGAAAAAATTGGTTTAAATTTTCTTTACATCTAATCACCATCGGAAGGTTTACCAGTGGTAAATTTTCTGACATCTTAAATGAGGGTATTTTTGGAACTTTGGAAATTCATATCTAAGCAAAAATATAAATTCTTTAGCTGTTTAGTGTGGAAAATCTTTCACTATCTGAAATATCGAATTATTAAATTGTAGACACATCGTTTGCACATGTTAACATGTTTAAAAATATAAAAACCTGAACCCCAGGTTTTATAAATATCAATTCTGGTGAGGCCTACAATGAAGCGAAACCTTTATATCAAAAGGGTCTTATTCTGAGGCTTCACTTAAGTTCAAGGCCTTGTTGTAGATCGTTTCGAATTTAGCTTCGATTATTGTTATAGGAAGTGCGTACATACTTCCGAGCAAAATAAGTTCGATTGCATTTCATGTCCCGTCATGTAGTTACAGTCCGGGTTCTTAGGTCTATATGTTGTAAAAATGTCACCATACATTATTATTATTATTATTCATTATTTTTCATATGATTTCGATTATTCTAGATTGCATTTATTCTGCATCGTTAGAAATATCATGCACACATAAAAATACAACAACCACTTCCAGGCTATTGTCCACAAGAATAACAAACATTGATTGTATTACGAAATATTTGTATCAGATGTTTTTCAACAAATCTCAACGAGATTGGCCTTGACGAAAAAAAACAAACATACTACGTGTTTGCATGATTATGCGTGAACAAAACACTTCCCCCAGTAACCACTTACCAAATTTGCTGCCACACGATGATGCTGACCGGGAGCATTGAATTTGCAGTATGGATAACGTCCCAAAGTACTAAAACTTCTATGACTGTTAAAGTATTGTTGATGTTTGCTGCAAATTCTCGCCAAGTGGACAAGTCCAGCCATAATTTGTCGATCCAATCAAAATATTAAAACAAACGTGCGTCCGTCTTCACCAATAAAAAAATACCAATAGTGTTTTTTCTACTTTCTTCTCTGTCAAATTTTGACATAGGAATATTGACATTTGGCGGCGATGCAAGAGTGCGGCAAACACAATCGGCGTCGCCCGTATGATGACGGCTTAATGCTAACATATGCTGGCACTGCCGTATGAGAGACAATTTAAAATGTTGAAAATAATCAGCCTTACAGCCTGTTTTTGTAATTTGTTCCGGCAGTCACACTTATCGTTCGTATTAAAACGTATACGTCGAAAATTTGGTTTTTGTAATAATTGTAAAAGCTTTCGTCTAGAAACGATTGAGCTTTTTCATTCGTTTTTAACCATTAGTGCCAAAGTGTTTCTTTTGGTATCTTGTTGCAAATTTTCCAATAGAATTATTGCAAAATGAGGGTAACTCTGTTTATTGTTTACAAACAGTTTTTTTTTACATAAAAAGTGTCAAAATAGAAAATTCAAAATGTTTGGTACGATTGCAATTAATTTTAATTATAAAGAAAAGCAAAATATTCCCCAAAGGAGAATACCTATGGCATTTAATGATACAGCAACATTATTCCACTTGTTATCCACTTCAAATTTATTGGATCCGAAAACAGGACGGCCAGTTGCTAATTGTGGGTAAAGTTCCATGAGATCAACCAATTTTTGGAATTGGGCAATCGTTGTCCTTTTGTTGCTTGGGGTTCAAACAATTCAATATAATTTTTTACATTTCATAGGGATATATAATTTTTTACAAACCATTTCTTCTTATATATTTCATCAGAATTTTCCATATTTGTTACGTTCTTTTCACTAACAACACACAAATTGTAATGAACAAATAGTTTTCTTTATTATTATTTTTTAAACGAATGGTATTTTCTCTTCGTTTGTTTTTGACATTTTTGTTCGTAAATAACGCACCGTTTTGTATAACAAAAACCAAAAAAATACGAATACCAAAAGCTCTTTCCTATTTCTCACTCACTACCAAGGTAGATATACAAGGTAGCCGCATCGGCGAATTTCTACAACAAACATCAGTTGTTGTATTTTGATATGTCAAAAATATTTTGCCAAAACAAACAGATTGACAAGATTTTTTTACACAAATTCTTGTTGAAAATGTTAATAAAAGTATTGCCAAAAAATCTATTCGAAATTCGGAGATTTTCATTTATAATTTTGTTTTTTAATTTTTTGGTTCAACATTACAACAACATTTTTGACATTTATTTGTCCAACAGCTGGGCCGATGCGGCTACCTTATTAAATATACCTTGCTCATTACAACCGGTAATTTGTTTGCGAAAACCAAAATGAGTAATCGTTCGTTTTTTCGACGAACGAATGGACATTTTACATTTACAAAAACAGGCTGTTATTCTGGATATTCGCTGGGAGATATCTCGCACATACAAAAATTTTCGCTTTCACATTCTCGCCTTATTCTGAATGAATAGGGAGACGCAAAAAATGCGAGATGCGGATTCGAATTTTCGAAAATGGTGGTTGGAAAAAAGATTGGTGTTGCCATATTATAATTTAAGTTGTAATGTGTGTTGCCATATTGTAATTTAAGTTGTAATGTGTGTTGCCCCATTGTAATTTAATTGTGTAATATTTTCCAATATTTTATTAAAAATTGTTACTTGTTATTGTGGTTTAAACTTTATAACAATATAAATGTGAAATATCAAGAATCCGCTTTATAAATGCCTTGTAATTAAAAGAAAATTAATTAAAGTTTGAAAATATGGCTACCTACAATATGACATGTGAAACAGCTGTTCATTGTTTTGATGCATTTTGGTACAACAACTACAATAGATTACAAATAAAAGAACATTTTTTTATGATGGGAAAAACACAGGCACATAATTGTGTGCCTTTTTATTTAATTTCGATATTTTATCTCTCCAAATTCTTAAAGTGGCCTGTTATGCTCCTACTCCTTTATTTCTTCCTTCAAATAATGCAAACGATAATTTTGAAAAAAAATATTTTTTGTATTTTTTTTTTTTTTTTCATAATTTTTATTTAAGTTTTTCACTGTTAAGCGGCTCATTAGGCAAATTTGGGTTTTCTATAATTTTTTTCTTGAGATACAGATCCTCTCCCAAAATGTCTGTTTTTCGCCTCCAAAATGCATCAAACTCGACTTAAATATTCATTATTACCTTTATACATTCCTTGGCAATATTTGGTTCAGCATGCATCATTATCAATAGGATTTCCAAAGGCATTTTATTTGCTGTTTTCCAGATAAATATTTGCTTACTATCATTTATAATATTCTAAATCGTCATAGAATAAGTATTGTGTTAATATTTTTCATAAAAATATTTATTACTTATGTTTTTGTAGTCAACTCACTTTGAATTTATTAGCGAAAAAATTCGCACAAAATTTCATCTCATTCTCCTACTCACTGTAATCCAGAATACCTAATTTTTCCCCAAAGCGGATTTTTTCGCTTTCGAACTTCATTCAGAATAAGGCGAAAGCGAGAATGCGAAAAAATTCACACAAAAATGTTGTTCAGAATAAGACGAAGGGGAAGAGCGAGTAAATTCACGTGGAATTGAAATCCAGAATAAGGCTGAATATTAATTTATATAATGCCAAGATTTCGTGAGGGTCAGGAACAATTCCTATACAGTTATATAACTAATTTAGGCTTGGCTAAATTTCCATTTCCGGAACAAGATTGAAATGTAGCCAAAATAGGTTCATATTTATATATATGTGTTAAACCATTAAATTGACTTGTATAAAATTAATAGAAAACTGTTAATAATAAATGAAAGAATTGTTTATAATGTAAGAGTTCGTGAGCATATATCGGAGTTTGTTGTTAAATTTTAAGGCACTTCGTTACGTAAATATGTCGATTTCCGAAATACTTTTTATAATATTTCCGTATTTTTATAGTATATTTTTAGACTATCAGGTTTTTAATAATGTTTTTTAATACATTAAATAGGCCCAGAAGGCTATTATTGTATTATGAATAGAATAAATAAATGACAAAAATTAAATGCTATGGATGTAACGAAACTGCAGAAGAATTAGTAGACAATTTAGTAGTGTGGGTTTGAAATACAGAGAGAATCTGAATAATACTTCAATAATAACAGTTATTACAGTTATTTCGAAGCCTTCAAAACACATAACAGCGATTTTATTTTTTTTTACATTCGAGAACCAAGATCCACCCACTTCTACTCCTAAATGGCCAAAGTCAAATACACAATATTTTAAAGAGATAAGTATATATCGAGCAGGAAGTAACATTTCCGCAGTCCTTCAGCCAAAATAATAAACACATTACATTTATAGCGCCCGAAATAGCTGAATGGTTCTCAAAGACAAAAAAAATATATATATTTTTTCGTGTTTTAATTCCAATTTTTACGTTAACCCAACCCTCATCCTTGCAAACATTTTAAAAGGAAAATTTTGACATAAATATATATCTTTAGTCATTTTAAGTGAGTTATTTATACTCTTGCGAGTCGAGCTTAATGATCTAAGTTTTGTAATGAAAAGGAAAGCAAGGAGAAGAACCTACGTACCCACCATTATGCGATGCGTTTCGTCGTTGGTTAAGGTGCTCATCAGGCATATTGGGCTATGTGGCTTTACAAAGGTCGTATGTTGATAACTTGTATTTATTCTGCCCTGATGCGAAACTTGCATATGCGAATTAAATTCAAATTTATCAAGATTCGACATTTGTCTCTTTAGTCATAATATAGTTATTTTTTTGCGTATCAATCCAATAAAAATTTTTGAATATATTTTTAGGAAATGTCTTAGTACAACAAAGGCACCTTAATAATAATTACACCCACTGACAATAAAACTTATAGGGAACCGAATCAATGTAAAAACCATTATAGGAAGCGTGCTACATTGTATAATTTAACCACAGATACTCTGTGTACTAGTACAAAAACGGAAACGAAATACAGTACAAAATGATTTTTGTTTTTTTATATAAAAAACACTTTTGAGTTGTATTCGGTTATTAAAACTAACAAATCATACTCTTACATTGAGTAAAACATACAAAAAAAATAAAATTTCTTAACTTATTACAAGTATGCTAAATGATAATTTAAAAAGAATAACATTACGATGAGCATATGAAACGGCATAACCGTTGTTTTGAAAATTATTGTATTATGAATAGAATAAATAAATGACAAAAATTAAATGCTATGGATGTAACGAAACTGCAGAAGAATTAGTAGACAATTTAGTAGTGTGGGTTTGAAATATAGATAGAATCTGAATAATACTTCAATAATAACAGTTATTACAGTTATTTCGAAGCCTTCAAAACACATAAAAGCGATTTTATTTTTTTTTTTACATTCGAGAACCAAGATCCACCCACTTCTACTCCTAAATGGCCAAAGTCAAATACACAATATTTTAAAGAGATAAGTATATATCGAGCAGGAAGTAACATTTCCGCAGTCCTTCAGCCAAAATAATAAACACATTACATTTATAGCGCCCGAAGTAGCTGAATGGTTCTCAAAGACAAAAAAATATATATATTTTTTTTCGTGTTTTAATTCCAATTTTTACGTTAACCCAACCCTCATCCTTGCAAACATTTTAAAAGGAAAAATTTGACTTAAAGATATATCTTTAGTCATTTTAAGTGAGTTATTTATACTCTTGCGAGTCGAGCTTAATGATCTAAGTTTTGTAATGAAAAGGAAAGCAAGGAGAAGAACCTACGTACCCACCATTATGCGATGCGTTTCGTCGTTGGTTAAGGTGTTCATCAGGCATATTGGGCTATGTGGCTTTACAAAGGTCGTATGTTGATAACTTGTATTTATTCTGCCCTGATGCGAAACTTGCATATGCGAATTAAATTCAAATTTATCAAGATTCGACATTTGTCTCTTTAGTCATAATATAGTTCTTTTTTGCGTATCAATCCAATAAAAAATTTTGAATATATTTTTAGGAAATGTCTTAGTACAACAAAGGCACCTTAGTAATAATTACACCCACTGACAATAAAACTTATGGGGAACCGAATCAATGTAAAAACCATTATAGGAAGCGTGCTACATTGTATAATTTAACCACAGATACTCTGTGTACTAGTACAAAAACGGAAACGAAATACAGTACAAAATGATTTTCTTTTGCGTATTTTTTCTTCATTTAATATTTTTTTGTTTTTTTTATATAAAAAACACTTTTGAGTTGTATTCGGTTATTAAAACTAACAAATCATACTCTTACATTGAGTAAAACATACAAAAAAAATAATAAAATTTCTTAACTTATTACAAGTATGCTAAATGAAAATTTAAAAAAATAACATTACGATGACCATATGAAACGGCATAACCGTTGTTTTGAAAATAAATTTCTAAATATGAAAGATTAAGATCATGTGGAACAGTAGTAGTAGGCAGGAAACTAACATTTTTTTAATATTTCCAAAAATTTGGATTTTGTTCCATGCGTCTCTGGAAATTTGTGTACCAATTTTGTAGTGTGGATAATGGTACCATTGGTTGATTGCTCATTGGAGGTAATTCATGTGGTGTAACACTGAAGCTGGAGGCATAATTAAAGAAATTTTCTAACATCTTTTGACTGAATTGGAGGTTGGCATTGGCATTTGACTAAAACAAAGAAAAAATAGTGTATGTAAATAACAAATTACGCATTATATACAAATGGTGTTTCTTTGTCGCTGAACTTACCACTGCGGGTGTTAATTGTGTTATGGTCATTTCTGGTTCCACAGATATACCAATTTGTGCAGTATGTGAGATTTCCTGAGCACCAAATTGCATAGCATTCTCCTGAGCCTCTAACTCGTGTGACTTTTTCAGTTGTGAGATTTTGAAAATAGCTGAGGGTTTACTGTTTGAAATGTGTCCCAGATACTGCCATGTTGGTGCTGCTGATGCATCTGGCCACGAGAAATACACTGCCGCCGACATACCATCGGGCAGGGGTTGTACTCCGGTTAGGAACACCACAATATAATTTACATGGTCTATGTCTGGTACATTAATCAGCAGTTTGTTTTCATCCACTGGTGTGAAGTCTGTTTGGGGCTGTGTGTGAGACGAGTGAACGTTGATTTGTTGCATTGCCGATGAATTGTTCCACAAACAACTTACCAGTCTTCCAGAAATAATTAAGCCAAACATTTTACAAATAGAGGTTATATTATAAAAAATAAAACAATTGTACAAAAATACTGTTGCAACAGTTAATGGGAACTCTTGTTGTTTACGTTTGTTCTAGAACAATATTTTTGACGTTTGGCCTGACCTCTGCCGGTAATGTGTTGCCATATTTATAAATAAAAATAATTGTCAGTAAAATGTGACATTTTTCAGTGATGTCAATGTAACGTTTTAGCTGTTGTGAAATTAGTGTTTTTAATGATGTTATTTTTAAAGGCAGCTTTCCCGTATATACGAAAAACTGCAATTCCACACATACCTTCTATTTTTTATTATGTATAAATAATTAAATTCTATTCACTACTTGTTCATGTGTATGTGTGAGGACACAGCGAATTATAGACAGATTACCAAATATGCAAAACACCTTGAATAATCGTAAATAATATTGTAACTTACCTCTATTTAAAGTTCCATCAAGCTAAGTTCATTTACTCAGTAAAAATTTCGAATTTTGTCTATGAGGTTTTCCAAAACTACCGATAATTTAGGGTTCTTAAGAAAAAGTAGTATATATGTCGAAATTAAAAGACTCGTAACTAAATTAACATTGACAATTTTTCACCTGGATATATTCATAATTGTATGGAATGCACAAAAGAACATATTCGAATTAAAAATTATTAAAAAATTGTAATTAGGAACAAATAAATTTAATGTTTTTCTATAATCGGAATATTGGTGAAAAATAAGCACATTTTCAATTATTTTGTATCTACATTGGAAGTACTCCAAAGACCGATTCATTTACAAAAAATACATTTTTAGTAAATTTATACAACAATAACCATAATTTTAACCTTAATCCCATTTAACCTCTGAATTCGGTATATTAAACCATGACGAAAAGTATATAATTATATAAAATTAAATTATTTTCTATAACTTTTTTATTTGTTTAATAATTCCAAAGTCCGAAAACCACATTTTTCAATATAATACAGAAGGACAACTAAAAAATAATAGATTTTTAAGTGGAATAGTCATTATCATAATCCGCGTGGAAAATTATCTATAATATAAATAAAAATTCGCTTATAGCCGATTACACATATAGGAGAAGTTCAGTTATAGTTAAAAAACATTGGACTATACCTTAATTTTATATTTTCAAAGGACAACAGTTTACTAATTTTAGAACAGAGGGATCACATATTTGATCAGTACCCGCACTCAAAAAAAAAAAAAAAAAAACAGTTTGTATTAAACAATGTTCCATGATATTTGAATGTGCGTTTTTTTTAAGTCCAATCCTTACTATTTCTCATAATTTAAGAGCGTGTGTATTTTTTTCACAAAATTATGGTTAAAAAGTGTTTACTTCCTCCCTTAATAAATTGTCACATTCACAATGTATTGTATGCTTTACTCAATTTGAGAGTATGATTTGTTAGTTTTAATAAAATACAACCAGAAATATATATTCTCAAGTTTTTTTTTAAAACCAAAGACAATGGAATGACATTTTTCACTGTATATCGTTTTTAACTAGTACATAAAAAGTTACCATGACTAAATTCTACAATTCCTCACATTAATTCGATTTATAATAAGGTGATTGGCCATTTTAATACCTTGCTAAATATAATATATTTGTATAATACAATTAAAACACAATCGTTGTATTACTATTAAGCAATTATGCTTCGTTTATTTGGTCTCTTATTTAAAACTTAAAATTCTATACTTTGTAGGTTATCAAGTGTTTTGCTCAGTCAACATCTAGAATATGTGAGATTCTGAAATCATAATTGTTCTTCATTATAATATTGCATTAGAACCAAATTAGTAAGTGGCAAGATTAAAACTATAAATAAATGGTAAATGTAAGCTAATCTATTAGAAATATCATACGAATGGTAATTATTGAATATGCTTCTCTGTTCATCTAACGTCGCCACATGCTAGCAGCGCCCACACCTATACCGCCGGACGATACCCCACGACGCACAGCTTCCAAATCTTCGGGTCGATTTTCTCTATAGGCTCTCTTTGAATCTTCAAATTCCCTTAAACGTTGATTGTACCTATCGATTTGATCACGCAGTATTGCATCTTCATGCATTGCACGACGTTCGTCAAATTCCAAACAACCAGATCCATCAAGGCGTTCCAAATCTAACCATCCACGGAATCGGACACAAACACCGTTCATTATGAAATACGATTTGATGTACACCTTACCGTGCTCCTTGTCGAAGTCGCATTCTTTGTCGTGTATATAGGGATTCTGGGTGGCATTGAAGACCAGTTGTAGATTTGTGCCTGAAGCAACAAATGATATTTCTGTATGCCCCTCACGGCAACCATTTTGAAAACGTATCTGACGCTCCTCTAAGGCTCGTTCACGATAGCCCGTATAGCGTATTTCACTTTCACGGCTGAGGCGTCGGAAAAGTTCATCACTTTCGAATTTGGACTTTTGATCCGGTACCACGCGAGGCATCTTAAAGATGAAGCGTGGTTTAGGTTGCTCATACAGACCAATGGAATCGTATGGTAGCATTCCAGCTAATGCTGCTTCGTTCATGGTGTTTTGATTCTCAAAGAAACAGCAAAGACTTTGGGCTTGGGAATAATCCACCCACTTGTGTTGAGCCGCTATTTTTGTGGTTTTTTATTTGAAGCGCAAGGGAAGAAATACTTTTTCTCTTTATTTTATTGCTTAAATTTAAGCAAAATGCTTTGTCTGTGGCGAGATATTTCCAAAATCAAAGAATGCACGAATCGAATTGTGTTATACTTATTTTTTTGCGGTTTTTCCAGCAGATAACTAGGGATAAATAAATCGACTTTCAACAAGGGATGAGTAAATCGACTTTTGACTAATCGATTAATCGACTTTCTGTATTGAAAGGTCTAATGCCATGTACGCACGAGCGTTGTTCACCCTTTGATTCCATACAAACATTTCTGAGCGAACACCGATTTTTGTACACTGTTCAATTCGAATCAAGCTCCGAATAACCAAGAAATTTGTCCCATCTCTAACAATTGAGAGTATTTTATCGAAAATAAATTACTTTTGACAGCATGAAAATATTTATAAATTTTTTAGTCAAATTGAAAATGGTTAATGAAAAGTAAAAAATTGTTTAGTTTTTATATATACACAAGGATGTAAATTCTGTTATCTATTTAATGCAATATGCGTTTCTTTCCATTTGGTTCTAATTAGCGTACAAAACAAGAAACAAAGGTGGGATAAACCCATGTCTGATGACAATTCATATAAAAAATTTTAGTCGATTTTTTCAAAATCAATGTTTTATAAAATCAAAAAGCAGAATTTCCCAAAAATTACATATTACAGAACTTTATTTCGATTCATATAAAACATTTTAGTCACTTTGACAAAATCAATAGGTTTGACAAAATCATAAAATCGATGGCTTCCACAGAAGAGTCTAAATTTGAATAATATTCTATATTACAAATAAGGTGAGATGGAGACTAAAAGGAACCGTACCGTATTGTTTACAACACATACACTCACAGCAGCTGCAGTCAGAGAACCGAGCCATACAGAAATGTTATTGTGTGATGGCGTTGTTATATGCATGTTGACAACGCAGAAGTTTGCTGACGTAAAACGATCAGCTTTTAAAGGTGTGACAATTTAAAAATCGGGTTATGGAATGTAATTGGTTACAAATTAAATTGCATTAGTCAGTAAAAGTCGAAAATCGATATTAACGGTTTTCCAGCAGAGTACCAAGTCCCGTTTAACATTTGAACGGCGTTGATGCTAAAAATGGCGACAACATTTAAATGTGTGCTCATTTCATGGTGAATTGCAAATTTGTACTGTACAATCTATATTTGATATCGTACAAACATTTTTTTAAAACATCTTTGGTTTGTTTTTTTATAATAGAGCTAGTAAAAGCATGGTACAATGCAAGGTAGGATACAACAAATTTAAAATGCTTCTCTATCTTGAGGCTTTTAAAGTCAAAATAAATGCAACAAGTCCTTGTGTTAAATTGTCATATTTTTACATTTCCATTTTGTAATGTTCTAATAATCATTCAAACTCAACAAACAAGCAATTAAAATTTAGCATACCTAGTTACATTTTTACTTAACCAAACTCAGAATATACCTTAAAGCGCGTTTACACTATAATTACAACGTTACAACTATATCATGTAATTTTGGTTCTATACGAAATAATACCGCCTTTTTTAGAGAGAACCAATGGTTGTAAGTGTTTCTGATGAGTCAAAAATAATAAAATTACATTTATTGGGATGAAAGATTTCGTTAATCATAAATTAACCTTACGAAAATATACGTAATTTTTTTTTAACACATTAATTTAAATATACATATTACAAATTTTTACAAAACATATACAAATTGGTCTCATGGAATATAAAGGATTTTATTTTTTGTCATCATTTGGTTTATTTGAATTTGTTGGTGGTTTTGAATCAGACTTGTTGTCATTGTTAGAATTTTCAGTTGCCTTTTTTGATTTTGCTGCCTTAGCTCGTTGTTCCGCATCGGCCTTGGCCTTTGCCAATCTTGCTTCCTCCTCTTTCTTCAGTACTTCCTTTTCGGCTTCGGTCAGTTCACCAAATATGCTAACTAGAAAATCATGCAATTCGCGTTCATGTTGTTTTTTATTGCCTGTCGATGGTGCAGCGGCAGTGGGACGACCATGATACTGAATTTGTAGGCTAAAAATAAAAACCAAAGGAAATAAAATAACAAAATGCAGAAAATACAAAAATATATGTAAGTATGCATTTCAATTTCTGTTTAATTAACAAGATGAAACTACATGTAATTAGTTCGAAAAAAAGCTCACACATTTCGCAAGCAAATAGGGCGCCATTACATTACATTTCATTTATTCAGAATTTTCTTTTTTTTTACAAATTGCAAATTCAATCTTTTGATTCGCAAAGAGAACGGGCTCATACCTTTATGCCAAATAACGACAAAGCAAAATGAAAGCATTTCAGAACGTCATCCAAAAGACGTTTTTTAACCAATAAACGTGCCAAATAAATGCGCCAATTTGCCAAATACCGTCACAAAATAAAATATAGAATATAAAAAAAAAAAATGATGAAAAGCTATCATAAAAATGGTTTATATATTTCAAATATTTATGCGCTATAAATTTGCATACAATGAAAATATTGTTTTTTTTTTAATTAAAATAAACATTTGTTCTGGTGTTTTAAAAGGCTTGACACACTGACAACTAAAGCGCGCGTTTGTTGCATGTGAGTGTTTTAATTGACATTTGTTAATAAACATGTTTAATTTAAATAAATAAAACTTGAAGTTTTTTTTTTTGAATCAGCTAATTCTAAAACTGTTTTTTTTTAATATTGAAATAAATATCTATTAATTATGAGAATATATCGCGGAACAGTAGCTTAAAGTAATTCGCATTAATTCTATATTTTAAATAAAATATATTATATTGGAGGGCTATCCCTAGTGAATATTTCATATTACCATCTAGTTAATACTGTGTGGAATTCCCCATATATATTAATTTTGATATATATATATATATATATATGTATATCGTTTTTACGTATAGGAATATATGGTGTGATTTGTTGGCATTAAAAATGCCAAACAACACATACATTCACATATCCATATTATTTATATATGTACATAGGAATGTATATTCAATAACGATTGTATTGAAAGTTAAATGAAACTTGACCAACCATATAATCGTTCACAAATAAATAAAAACATGGAAAATATGTCATAAATTGTTTTTTCTTCAAGTTCATTGAACATTTCACTGTTTTTTAAATATTTTATTTTAATGCTACTACAAAATTCAATAAATCGTAAAAAGAACCATATATCGATCATTGGATTAAGGGAATTTCTTGAAATATTTGTAAGATATATTTATATATGTTTTATTTTTGTTTGTAATTCAGTGAATTTTTTGTATACTGACTATCAACGCATGGTAGAATATACAATCCTCAAACTACTGCAATTTAGATAATAAAGTTAGGTTACATAGTGTAGGAATTAGCGAATATTTGCTGTTATATTTATATGAGGGCTATGTACTATGGTTTTTATTACGTTTATTTTGGCATAAACTCTAATTTTAAAGCTATTGAATTGAAATTTGGTTTGTATACATTTGTTATGCTCCCAAGATGACCTACCAATTTTCATATGATTTGGGGCACTATATCATATAGCTGCCATATAGCCGATCTGGCCGATTTGTCCCGACTTTTTTGTTTATAAAGCTATTGAAGTGAAATTTGGTTTGTATACATTTGTTATGCTCCCGAGATGGCCTACCAATTTTCATATGATTTGGGGGAATATATCATATAGCTGCCATATAGCCGATCTGGCCGATTTGTCCCGACTTTTTTGTTTATAAAGCTATTGAATTGAAATTTGGTTTGTATACATTTGTTATGCTCCCAAGATGACCTACTAATTTTCATATGATTTCATAGCAAAAAGTTTGTTCCTTACTTCGGTTATATTTCCATTACTGACTGCTTTATTCAAAACAAAGGCCATGTCTCTGTCTTGGATATTTTAGCTGAAACCGTAGCAGCATGAACTACCAACGGCGTTGCATGTTTATTTTGTGAAGCAACTTTGAAGGCTAATTTCCTTTTTAGCCTAGGCCCAGCATCTTCATAATTTAATTTTGGGCGACCTATTTTGTTTGGGGAAACATACTGCTCACCCATTACTATAATTATACTTTTGCTAAGCCATTTTGAATGTTTAGTTTTAAATCGCTCTAATTTACGGTTGAACTTTGGGAAATGTTTTTTATATAATTAACAAAATATTTAAATTGTTTTGATATCAAACGCATTTGGTCTTCATTTAAACTGATATTACTGATATTATTGATATTAAACTGATATTATTGATATTGCTGCTCTAAATTTCAATAAGCGCTGCATGGGCAAACACATATTTATCAGTAAAAACACGTGTTGGCACAAAATTTAACAAAAATCATTAATTAACCCACTTTTGTTAATAACTTGGCATTTACACCTTTTTGCAATGCTTTGCCATTCACACGTTATACTCCACGGAACAAAACTGCAATTTATAGATTTTATATAAAGTTATACATAAACAAAACATTTCACAGTATTACAACAACAGACAAATATGACAAAAAGGGCATCTCGTCTTAATTTTACATACCTGCACTAAAGTTTTCCATAATTACACATTTTAATTTTTTTCAATTTTGTCAAATTACAAGCATTCGAACATAGCTGATTTTGTTGTACCAAAACAATGTGACTTTCAAAGTGCTGACTTTTAAAGCTCGCCACAAAAAAAAGTGTTGCCACTTGCATTGATATTAATTTTTTTTTCTAATATGGGTATCTATAGTTAGGAAATCAGTAAAATTTCAAAATATGAAAACAAAAAAAAATTGACTTTATGCCAAAAAATCATACTTTTTACCCATAGTGCAATGGCTCAGAAATACAGATGCGATATTCCGTTATAACATTTATTATCCTCTCTAATTACCTAACATTAAGTAAAATATTTATTTCATTTGCATTAGCCGGCAAATAAAATCAATTCAATAGAAATAACGGATTTCCTTTCTCTTGGAAAGTGAATCATATCTTCTGTAACTTTTGCACTCTTTACAATTTGCCAATCAGCATAATAATATTGTTTGTTTGTTAATAATATGGTGGCGTATTAGTACCATTACAAATTCCTTGGGCCCCACATTACTCATACGCCGTATCGTAATCAGCTTGAAATTGATTATTGGCCATTAATCATGTCGCTCACTTTGATATATGAACAAATTAAAATGGACAGTTTAATTAAATTCTGTGAAAAATTACACGTTCAACAAAACGTAAAGAGGAAAATTTGAAACGAGATGTATTTTCGAAAACAATTTGCTCACATACAATGTGCACCGAAAACAAACAAAAAAAGAGAAATTCCAATGATGTTTAGAAAACTTTTTATTGAATATTTCCACGCCAAGAAGAGTGAAATAAATCTCAAATTTTATTAATTAATTTTATCAGCATTCAGGCGCACATATTCACACATACACCCACCGATTTATATTGTGCAAAATATGCCAACGCTAAAAAAAACAAAAATAAATAAATATCTAAATTCCCAACAAAAACACAAACAACATTGTTGTTTACATACATATATTAAACAAATACTGAATGCCAAGAAATTTTTAAAACAATAAAATATAATGCCGAATACCGAAAATCTAAACAAAGAGACCCCACTAGCAACGAACGGGCCGGATTGGACCGCCATCGATAACGAAAATAAACCAACAAGAACAACAACAACACTAAAGTACAATGGGCAAAGTGTCGTCGCATTGCCGGTTGTTTTGTGATTATACGGTTGTTAAGTCTTTACATATGTATAGGTGATAAATGTTCACGTTTGTGTGTCTGTCTGTGTGTGTGTGTATGAATGATGTTTTTATATTAAATAAAACAAAATTTTGGCAAGAACATCAAGTCAAAGGAAATAACAAATATAAATTGAAAAATAAAAACAGCCGAAATAGGATTCAAAGAAAACACAATAGATGAAATGTGGTATGAGGGGGATCACCAACAGCTTTTAGAGTATAGGAAACCATAAACTAGACACGCTCATCACTTATAAACGTATATATAATTAAGAGGGTTATATAGGGAGAAATTAAAAAAAATCTAAAATATATAAAGAACAAGTGAATAAACGTTAAGTTCGGCCGGGCCGAACTTTGGATATCCTCCACCATAGATATACTGACAGGTACTAGAAATGAAAATATAGGGAACATACCAAAAAGTGGACTTATCCCGACATTTCTATGTAAACTATAATATAAATTTCAGAAATTTTTAATGGATAATTATACCCTCAGCCTTATGGCTAATGAGGGTGTATAAAATTTACACCGTGAAAATGTGCCTCATCGAATTTATTGGTTCTAGACCCCATGTTTCATTGGACCAAATCCGTTTCAGAAAATTTACATTTCATCCAAACTTTGCCAATCTTATTATTTCTTCCAAACTTAGTTGTTTCGAAGATATATATCGGTCCACTCCTTCTGGTACCTCCCACACAGGCGCTAGGTTTAAATACGGGTTATAGTTCATGTATAGTTCATTATCGAACCTTACGTTCTAGTTTTTTATCTCGATATCCCCCACAGGTGATATAGTTACAACAGAGTCTTAGAACCAAACCCAAAACGCCGAACAAATTTCATAACTATTTTAATATAAAAAAGGGGTTATATAGGGACTACCCCAAAAAGGGGGTGCATATTAAATTTTTTTTGTAGAGAAATTTGTTACCATATTCGACTACAATATACCAAATTTCAGCGAATGTGTGTGTGAAAAACGTTTTTAACCTCAAAATAGCAAAATTGGGGGTACATTATATGGGGGCTACCAAAAAATTGGACCTATATAAATTTTTGAAAATATTTGGCACCCAATAGGAACCAAATGTACCAAATTTCAGCGCAATCGGTTGAAAAACGCGCTCAAGAACCCCAAAATACCGACATTTGGGGGGGTACCCTTTTATGGGGGCTATCCGAAAAAATGGACCTATATTCATAATTTTTTGTGGAGAGATTTGGTACATATTAAGAACTCAAAATACTAAATTACAGCTAATT